AAGAAAAGAAAGAGAAGAATCTGGTCGAGATGTAAAATATTAAATTCTGAAAATTATTTGCATAGAGAGAAGGCACACAAAGTTTTTATCTACTTTTTTATCTTTCTTAACTGGAAATGCCTTTTTCTTCTTTCTTACTGCATAATTTCTTTTTTTTTACTTTATTTTACTACACATCAATAATTTACCGTTTAACACAAAATAAATTCTTTTTACCAGCATTTTTAGCAAGAAGAAAGAAAAAAAAGAATAAATTTTCTAATAGGGTAGTTGCCAGTTTTGTTCATTTTCACACTTTAACTACACCACTTAACACCACGAATTGTTAGTGTGGTAAAACAGTTTTCGTTAAATGTCGTCAAATTTTTCTATTGAACAGAGTTTACAGAGCAGTTTGTGGTGATCACCTTTGGAGAAATTTTTAAACGACTTGCAGATGTGTTTAAAGAAGATAAAAATGCAACTGTAGTGCTGCCACTGGTTGCGATCATTGTGATAAAATTAGAGGACTAATCGTCACTGAATCACACAAAAATCAGCATTCTGATGGCTACCAACATAAACAGTGAACACAAGAGCTGGTTCCAAAAAAAAAAAGCCAATTCTTAACCAAGTGTGCTTTAGGTGAACACTAAAATATGCAAAAAGATGGTAATGACGCTAACGTTAAATTGCAAGCAAGAAAAGTTTTTCAAATAAGTTAATGTTGAACCAAAACTTGTGAAAAATGTCACAAAGTCAGTTGTCGTCATCATCAAAAATTTTAAATTTTTAAACATGTACGATAGACTATTGTCTGTTGTCACCATCTGTAACACCAGAAGTAAACAGCAAAAAAAAAGCACTACCTTTAGCTACAGCAACATCTGCTCTATCAATGCAGGGCAAATTTTTTTAGGGTTTTATCAAAACAACATAAACTGTTATTGAAAAACCTAAGGGTAAATGCTTAATGGCTTTCACAATTGTTTTTGTTGCCGAAAAAACCGAAATGCTTCTTGAGGTTGCCAAAAAAACTTTTGCTAAATTGATAAAGAATTTAATTATAAAATTTATATGAATTAAATTTTTCAAACACCAATGAAAAAGTTTCTGATAAAACAAAAAAATGAGAACAATTTGAGATGACGCGGTTTATACCAATATCTTCTTTTTATTCTACTACTATTTAAAATTTTTTATCCAAACAACTGTTTTACCTTCGTCAACACTTTTTTTATTTTTAATTCTCAGAAATAGTAAGTTATATTGTGAAATAATAGCGAAACAATCTCAGAAGTCACGACGTTCTCCTTCATTTTCGCTTCTACTGATTACCGTCGTTGTGTTTTTGTAAAAACATTAATATCTAATACTGAAATAAATTTTGTTTCTTTCTGGAATTCGTAAGACTGATCTTCAGTCTGCTACTAACTTTTTTCTCTTGTCTTTTCTTTCTTTCTTATGCTGCCTTTACTCCACCTATCGAAGAATTAAAAATTACTGAATTACCCAAACAGAAAGAAAAATGAAAGCTCGTTCACGACAGATAATAAATTTAGGTGAAAAATTTTGGTTTGAAATACCTATACAAACAGAATTCACCTCTGCTTTTGTTCTGGCCTTACAATATCTACTTTTCAAATCAGGGTTTTATTTTTTATCTTTTTGAGGAGAGAAACGAGCTTACTATCAATCACTATCATTCTGAAGCATAGGTCTCAGATCTTGAGACAAAAACAAGTTTTTTTAAAAATCTCATTAACAAACTGTGTGCATAACAGATATAACAAATTTGAGAAAAAAAGAAACTTTTTTCTCTTCTTTACTTTTCTTTTTTTCTTCAAAACACTAGAATGTTCTTAAAGTATAAACTAGCAGTCTGTAGAAAGATAAGTATAAGTTTAATTGTTTGTTAGTCAAAGCAGAAGCAAAATCAGATTAGAAAAGAACAGGAATGACATAAAGCAAAAGTATAAGCCTTAAAACGTTGCTGCCTTTTTCGCTTACAGAATAGAAACGTGCTTAGAAAAAATGGGGGAACAAAAGAAAGAGCAGTTGTTCAAAACTTAGACCTTATTTATTAACTAAGTTGCTGTAAATAAAGAATGCAGAAGAAAAAACACCGAAGGTTTAAATAGAAAAGCAAGTTTTAGTTTAACTATACAATCATCAGTGCGTATAAACAAGGCACAGCATCGATACACCGTTTATTCTGATACGCTGATACGCTGTTATTGTCAATATAAGTATATATA